GTAGAGTTGATGTACTTACATAAGCAGCGGCTGCGGGGGACGAGGATGCATCGGACCACGAGATAAGCGAGCCAGATGAATTTGGCACGGTATGTGTTGCGGGGGAGCTGGTATGCCTGCCTGGGTGATATTCTGCCCGCATTTGCATGTATGAAGCTGATGACTTACGTGACATGGGTGAGTGAGTGAGGTGAAGGAGAGGCGGTAGAGATCGCATCCCGAAAGTTTCTTGTACCTGCGCTCGTCTCGTAATAGTGCGATCATACCCAACCTCGACCACTTACTTCAAATATCAAGCCACCGGCTTCCACACCCTCCAGCCTTCCACCTCAGCGCCCGCGCTCTCGAGCATCAACTCCACATCTATTTCAACCTCCCTAGCTGTCTTGTCGTTGTAGTCGTAAGTAGAGTGTGCACCTTGCAACAAGATGACTTTGAATCCAGCGGCTAGAGCACCTCTGCATGTCGAAAGGACGCAGCATTCACTTTGTATGCCAAAGGCTACTATCGTGTGTACACCCGAGCTTTTCAGCTGGGACGCAAGCTGAGGGTTGGAGGAGAAGGTATCGCCTAGACGTATTTGTCAAGAGAAAACAAAAACACAATATGAAAACTCACGGACATCCTTCTCTACCAGTCGTTCCCATCTATTATCATCTCGTGGCTTAAACACCAACTCCCACGCCTTACTCCCTTTCACCAGCGGTCCTTTTTCAGCAACCTCCTCGTGCTGCACAAATACGATCTCTATATCCGGTACTCGTCCCTCTTCACACGCCGTATCGATGGCCCGACGCGCTCGCTGCAGGATGCTCGTCCCGGCTTCGCGGATACGGTCCGCATGTGGTATTTCGGTCGCTGCGTTTTGCGCTAATTCGACTTGGATGTCGATTGCGAAGAGGGCTGTTCGTGGCATGATGGGTATGGGGTTTGGGGATGAGGAGGGGGGTTGTGATGTTGTGCATGTTGGGTGTATGGCGTATGAGTCATGGTCAGTATACTGGCGGAGGTAGAGCCGAGACATTCTGGAAGACTACGAGTGCGAAGGAAGTTGGGAGTGCGATTGAGTTGGTGAATCCATCTGTTGTCTTCTGAAGATCTAGGCAATACCAGACTGTACTTGTAGTGTCTCGTCATGGATGGCGCGGGAAGGCTGCTCATTGTTCTCGGTTGAGTAATGAGATGCTAGACGCCGCTTGTAGTTAAGTGAACATTTCTACTGTGAGTTCATGTCCATGTAGTATCTAGAAAGCTTGAAGCTCTCGAGTCCGCTGCCTGTACACTGGCCAGCTTGAGTAGATGGATTTGCCCTTATACGCGTGAAATAGGAGCCATGAAACGCAGAATTCAAGCCAGCGAGGGGCAGAGTATGCCAGACTTGGAATAGTGAGTTGATGCAGCATGTGCTGGCTATCGTGGTTGTGGTAATTACGAGCGAAGAGGAATTAGTTCAAACAGGAGGGGTAGACTGTGCCCCGCCGCAGAGCCAGCACAGCGATACGTGGACATGAAGCGGCTGGTAAGAAGCTTCGATGAATCGATGAAAGCGTCAACGATATATCGTGAGATTGGTAGCCCTTCTTTGTTTTGACGAGCTTGTGCCACCTGCGATCGTCTTCCTACACCGACCTTTTTACAAAGACGTGAATCAGCGACTCAAAGATTTTCTGGTTTTCGCCATGCGCGCGTGCAACGGTCTGTCTCGTGGTGGGGTACTGGCTATCTTTGAGTAGTCATGTTACATGCTGCAGAATGAGGCTGTACTCGCATGAAGGAAGATCCAGATCCTATCAAAGGCGAGGGTTCTCAAAAAGGCATGCAGGCGGGAACACTACCGGGGCGTCACCCACTGAAATCCGAAGGCTCCATGCTGGAAGGGTTGGAAAGTATGGGGCGCGAGGCCGTTGGTGTACGTTTGGGGTTAGGCGCTAAAGTGTCGGTGTGTAAACAAACTCCAGCACGCTCTTGACACGTCGACAACGCACGCGCTAGCCATCCCAACCACCTCGCAGCCAACCCCCACCGGGTGCCGCCTCGGCTCACCATGAATTTCAGATGATGGGATCCCTGGCCTCCCATTCTATCTATCTTGCAATTGTTCCATCTCACAAACTTTGAGTTACACATTGCGAAGAATTGCTGCACCGCGACACACAAAGGTCGGATATGGCTACTACCATGCACCACCCGTCTCCCCAGCCGGGCCTTACCTCATTCGCCATCTACGAAGACCCACAGGATCGCGAACCCTTGTCGCCTTCGGACTTGTTCGACGGCAGTGACTCGTACCACTCCGAACGCTCGTTCCCCATGGCCCACGACGTTGTACATAGCATTGAGCTGGCACAGCAACAGGAGCCCGACGACGAGCCCCAGCCCTACCGCAGCTCCTACACCTCGCGCCCGGGGTCGCAGCAGCGCATGTCCTCGCACTACAGCTTCGTCTCGGCTATCCCCTCCGAGTCGTCGATAGCTTCGAAACCCATCCTGCCCGCTAACGAGGCCGGTGCACGAGCACGCAAAGAACGTCCGCGCTTCCGGAATACTGAGTCTGTCCGCGCCATGCAGATGTCGTCGCCGCCGCCCACACTCGCACACCAGACCTCCCAAGAGCGACTCAAAGGGTCCTTCAAGCTGGCTACACCTAGCAGGAGCAGCAGATCAGAGCACGACATGTCGAGACAGTCTACCGGCTCACGGAGAAGGAGCATACGGGAGCCTCATAGTCCGAGACCGACCCCGACACCGCAGCAGGCGCCGCTGGTCCTGTTACATGTTACCATTCTGCCCATGCAGGTACCGTACTCGCACGACATCATGGCCAGGATCATGCCTGATTGGCTGGTGGAGAACTACAAGCTGCTGGAGGAGAAGCTGCAGGACATCATCCTGATGCGACGCGGCCTTCTCATCCCGCACCCCAGGGACGAGTACGACCTGCTCGAGGAACGCATACTGGAAAGCTTGGAGCTCAGAACACCCCGCCTGCTCCCGTGCGGCCACTTCGTCCCACCCGAGGACGAGGACGAGCGGGAAGACGAGGACGATGTCGCGAGCGTCGGCGACGAGAACACCGGACGGGGCAGTCGCATGAGTGGAGGCACACTGACGGAAGGAAGCAACACCTCCCACAACGGCGACCACAGCATGTGCATAGACTGCCACCGCGAACTCAAGAAGCCCGGCAAAGGCATCGGTGCCGGCACACGGAAATGGGACATCAAAATCTACGCTGCCAACGGTCTGATGCGCGCCGCCGCCTGGCAAGCCTGCTGGAACGACATGGAAAGATGCGACGTCGAGATCCACCCCTGGATCCCCGAGGAGGTCCGCAAGACGCTCGAGCGCCGCGCCCAGGAGGAGCAAGAAGCCGACAAGCGCAAGGCACAATACACCGTCGAACTGCAACGCCAAATCCAAGAAGCCGCCGTCAAGACCAAGATCCTAGAAGAGGAAGCCAACGAGGCGAAGCGCAAGGAGGAAGCCGAACTACAAAAGAGCTTCGAAGAGGCCGCCGCCGCTCTACAAAGAAGCATAGAAGAGAAAGCAGCTGAGAGGAAGAAGTTCGAAGAGGACCTCCAGCTCAAGCTCAACGAAGCGAAAGAGGCTGTTCGTCTTGAACTCGAAGCCAAAGCCCTTGCTGAATCCGACGCCGTCGCCCAGCGTCTCCGTGCGCTGGAAACTGCTATCAAGGAACAGGAGAGCGCTGAAGCTGCCACACGTCTCTCGGCAGCTCAAATACCGCTCAGCACGCTGCTGAAGAACTACATCATCCTTCTCCTCAGCGACAAGCGCAACTCTATTATCTTGTTACTGGCTGTTGCGGTTGCGTACATGGCGATGAACATGCGTGCTGCTCAGCAAGCACCCGCGTCGGCACAGATGCTAGAGCTCCCCACCGAGGTTGCGGCGCCCATGATGAATGCCGTCACGGCTACTATGACTGCGACGAGTTACTCTACGTTTACGGTCACGGAGTTTGCGACTGCTACTGCTGTCCCGGTTCTTGAGGTTGCGGACCCGGAGATCGAGCCTGTGGCTGAGGAGGTGAAGGCTGAGGTTGAGGTCGTTGTCGAGGAGAAGGCGGAAGAAGAGATATCTACCAGCCCCGCTGTAGACCTCGAGCTCTTCGACGTCGTTGTGGAGCAGTCTACTCCCCTCGCTGCTGCTGAGGTTGAGGTGAAGACGAACGTCCTTGTCGCTTCCAACCAGACACCCGCTGAAGCCTCGTTCTGCGCTTCAGAAGTCGAACACGTCTTCGAGGCTCCGCTTGCGTACTGCGCGGCTTCTGCTTAGACGCTCTCTCGCCTTCTTCTTCCTCCCCCATCGACTTCTCCCCACCCCTCATATTCCCTCACTTTTTCTTTGTTATATTTCTCCTTTTCTCTTTTCTATGAAGCTTATAACGCATACCCCCTCACGGCCTCTAGCATCTACCTATCTATATGCATATACATGTGCATTTGCGTTTGCATTTGCATACATACACCACACGATATACTATACCATGTCTTTTCATGTTTCATGTTCATGACGTAATGTAGCGGTTTCGATTGAAGATATCCCTTTTCTTTCGCTTTTTTTTTTCTTTATGGGTTGGGTTTGGTTTGGGCATAGCGGGTTGTTGGTTGGGGATTTGGATTGTGTGGCTGTGGAGAGTATATACCAATACCGAAGAATGAAGATTGATGATATGATATGATATTGTTATGTTCCCATGTGTGGCTTGGTCTCAGTGTGTTTGAGTTGCTGTGAGAGACAGAATTGGCAGTATAAACGTGGAGGGTAGCAGGCATATCAGTGTAGTGTGGAGGTATCCGATGTAGCTTTCAGGTTCATTCGACACGGGAAGGAGCATAGTAGTCCGATGGACTAGTCTTTGTGATTATCAGGTTTGTATCCAATAGAGCTCTGCAAGTATCATCATGCACAAGCACCCATCTTTCAGTCTCCTCGATCCCAAACGAACCCCATCCACCCACGCACAATCCCTCCCCCGCCTACTCCTCAGGCTGAATACCCTTCTTCTTCAACTCCTCCCTCTTCCTCCCCGCCCTACTCTTCGCATCCTCAACCCACGCCTCATAAGCCCCCTCGCCCTCATTTAACTTCGCCCTCGTCACGGCTTTCAACAACTCCCCCACAAACCCCACAAAGTTATGCCTCCTCAAACTATTCTCATACAGCCACCTCGCGCGCTTATCCTCCTGCTCTTCCAGCTCGTCCTCGTCGCCTATCTCCCTCGCCCGGATGCGCAGGTCGCGACAGCAGGCCATGAGGTTGAACCGGATTTCCGAGGCAGGGTAGCGCGCGATGCGGCGTTGGAGGACGGGGATGATTTTACTGGGGAAGTCGGAGGGGGTGCAGGGGCCGTGGAGGATGGGCGCGGGTTGCAGGCCGTCGAGTTCGTAGAGTTTGTTGTTTATGGATGTGTAGCTGGGGTGGGTGGGTTAGTGAAGTGAGCTGTGGGGGTAAGGTAGATAGGGTGAGAACTTACGCGATGAAGTGGAAGACATCGTCGTCTTCAGTAGCCGTCCTTTGTGTCTCGTCGACGAACGGCGAGGAGCGCGCGAAAGAATTGTGAGTTTCGCGGATGAGGTCCGAGTTTGACAGTGTTTCTCCTCGTAGCTATGCCTCTTTATCAGCCCCTCACATCCAAAGCATCCAGTCAGTCCCTGCCTTCACATACCTCTGGCGGAAAGTCGCCAGCAAACTCCTTGAACTCCTTCAGTTCCTTGCCGATATCCACCTCCTCCTCCCTATTCAGCAGCAGCGAAACAATCGCCTGTGTACCACACGCATTCTGTATCGTTTGCGCAGGGAAGAAGAGCTTATTCGCCGCCTCGTAGTCGTACGTCCCGTCTTTCGGTACGTCGCTGGGTTTCTCGCCGGTCGGGTACTTGAAGAGGAAGATTACACCGTACAGTGTACCGAGGGCTTGTAGGTCTGAAGGTTCGAGTGTGGTGAGTTCTTCGAACTCTACGCCCTTGACACCGAGCTTCTCGATGAGGTATGTGAACACACCCTGTTGGGGTTGTTAGTATGCGGTTTTCTTTCTTGAAGGACAGTGATGGCGGGCTTACGGCATCGGACTCTATGGTGTTCCAGCCTCCCGACATAGTTGCGTGAAGGTAGAGCGGTGAGGTGCGCGAGTGTGTTGTCGATGTGTTTGGACCTACGCCATCGACAGGCGCCGCCGGAATAACTCCTCGGCCCGCGCTTCGGAACGTTCCGATGCCCCACTATGGATTGGGAGTGAACAAGGTCGTTCCATGTGTTGACCCCTCTACCCGGTATCGCTCGTGTTCATGGAATCGTCTTCTCGTGTCACAGAACAAACGCCTTGGCAGAGTTGTATAGATGCGGTCACAGCATGGAGTCGACGCATCAGTCCTGCAATGACGTCTACCGTTCCAAAGTTTCACTTCATTCCAACCGTACACAAGGCTACCTAGGTATGGCTAGCGCAAGGCGACGGGGCTCCTTACTCAGTACTTCTAGTCATCTCAGATCTCCTTGCAAATTTCCCCTTGTCATATCTCTATACAGGTAGATCTGCTGTGTACCGGCAGATAGATCGGAAGCACGCTCCTCAGCTTGCTTCACGATAAGCTCATTTGTCAGGTTCTTTCTCCTTTCATGACTATAGCTCCATCCCATTCACGTCAGTTATCACTTTCCCTTCCATCCTATTGGCAGCCATTTCTACTAGTATGCATCGTGAGTGGGACTGTGCTGAACCCTGGTCTGCTTCCCGAGCACGCAATGGAGTTGCAACTTCGCGCGATGGGCGTGGGAAGCGACTATCCAGATACGTCAGAGTGTAAACAAATTTAAAGGTATATCAACACTGTGAGTTTCACAGAACTCAATTCTCACCCACAATCATGATTCCAAGTCGAGTTCTGCTGTTGCTGTCCTTCGGCGTAGCCGCTGTTACAGGGCGCTCTTCCAAACCCAACTTCATCTTCATCATCACCGACGATCAAGACTTACATCTAAACTCGCTCGACTACCAACCTGCTGTACAAAAGCATTTTGCCCAAGAAGGTACTTGGTTCAAGAAGCATTTTTGTACCGTGGCACTATGTTGCCCATCGCGAGTATCGCTCTTGACTGGGAAAGCCGCCCATAACACGAATGTCACAGACGTCTCAGCTCCTTACGGTACGTCGAATATAAAGTGATAAACTAGAAGAGTTTGCTCACTACCAGCAGGCGGATATCCCAGGTTCATCGAGGAAGGTTTCAATGATGCTTATCTTCCCGTGTGGCTTCAGGAGGCGGGCTACAACACTTATTACACTGGGAAATTTATGAATGGTCACTCCACCTCTACATACGATGCACCGCGAGCCAGTGGCTGGAATGGCTCTGACTGTAAGCATCCCAGTACCACTACAGCGACGCTGTCTAGCCACTGACATCTACAGTCCTGATCGACCCCGGAACATATGTCTTCTACAACTCAACCATGACGCGTAACCACGACGTGTACAGAAACCTACCAGGAGAATACTCAACCGACCTCGTAGCCAACGCCGCAGTCTCCTTCCTAGACGAAGCCATCGCAGCACCAGACCGACCATTCTTCATCGGCGTCGCACCCATAGCCCCCCACTCAGAAACAATCACCAACCCACGCCCCACAAAGTTCAACCTACCCGTCCCCGCAAAGCGACACGAGCATCTCTTCCCCGACGTAAAAGTACCCCGAACACCAAACTTCAACCCCTCCAAGGTACTACAATGTGTCCCCTTCCCCCTCCGCACTGCACACCCCATCTAACACCCCAACTCCATCAGCCAGGAACAGCATCCTACTTCTCCACGCTCCGCCCGCTCAACGCCTCAGAAATCGCGTACAACGACGCCTGGTACCGCGCACGCCTGCAAACCCTTCAATCCGTCGACGACCTCATCGAGTCTATCATGGACCGTCTGAGCGAACACCCCGAGGTGCTGAAAAACACTTACTTGATATACACGACCGACAACGGCTTCCACATCAGCCAACACCGGCTGCCGCCCGGTAAATCCTGCGGCATAGAAGAAGATATCAACATCCCTTTCTTCATCCGCGGCCCGGGCGTTGCTAAAGGCGCTGTGATGGATATCCCGAGTAGTCATACGGATATCGTGCCTACGTTGTTTCATCTCGCTGGTATACCAGCCCGGGAGGACTTTGACGGGGAGGTTATTCCTGTTACGGGGGAGATGCAGGAAAGGGGTGGGAAGAGCGAACATGTTAATGTTGAGTTTTGGGGTGAATATTTAGTGGAGGGGAATGTGTTTTATGGGCGAGATGTGTGGGCAAATAATACGTATAAGAGCGTGAGGGTGGTGGGGGAGGAGTATGATTTGAGTTATACGGTTTGGTGTACGAATGAGCATGAGCTTTATGATATGAAGGTCAGTCTGCGTTTGCTTTGCTCTCTCTTTCTTTCCCTCTCTTTAGTTCCAAGGCTTGGGGAAATGCGTACTAACGAAGGATGGCAGACGGATCCCTACCAACTCACCAACCTCCTCTCCACACCCAACATCTCCACGCCCAACACCACCACATCCTCCTCCTCCTCCTCCACCATAACCTCCTACCCCATCCTCCCCCTAATCACCCGCCTCGACGCCCTTCTCCTCACACTCAAGCGCTGCAAAGGCCGCGTGTGCACGCGGCCATGGGAGAAATTGCATCCCGAGGGCAATGTACGCAATCTGAAAGATGCTATGCATGAAAAGTACGATGTATTTTACTTGGAGAAGCAGAAAAAGGTTAGCTTTGACGAGTGTACGTTGGGTCAGATTTTGGAGGTCGAGGGGCCGCTGGAGCCGGTGAGTTGGAGGGAGGAGTGGGATGAGTGGAGTTGGGTGACTTGAGGATGGAGAGATGGTGTGGAATGGTTGGGGAGGGAAGGGGAGTGATGTGTCGTGAGAGTGATCAACGATGTTTCTCCTCCACGTCTGCGAGACGTGCTGAGCACCCAAACCTAGCCAGAGTGAAAAGAAACAGCATCGCGCCCAAGTCTAATCTAGATGGAACATGCCTCACTCTTCGAAGCAATCTTGCTTCGACACCGTCTGAACAGTATCAAGGCTGGTCCAGCTAAGCCATCCCTTCTCTTACCGCCGTTTCGAAGATCAGGGCGTGCACTCACTCCTCCCTGTCGAAGAAAAGGACACGAAAACGGCAGGATACATGTCCATCATCGGCGCTTCCGAAGAGCATTCCTCGTCAACATGTCCCCGACAAGATGTCCCATAAGAATTGAAGCACGTGTAGCCAGTTACTAACTATAATTCCAACCAACATGTTCTCAGTATGCAAGAAGTATAGCAGTACAAAGCAGAACTATACATTCACAGCACGTCTAAAAGCTGTTTGCAATTCTCTACAGAAGCTAGAGATGCGCATACCAAAGTATCAAAGACAGCACCCCACATCGACCACTTCTTCGGCCGAGACCTCAAACAATCCCATCATCGCTCGAAATAATTTGCATGGCATTTCGCACGTGCAGCTACCTAGGTGCATCAGCGTAACCACAACCCCAAACTAACGTCTCAGCTCCTACCATTCAACCTCCAGAAATATACACAACCCCCCACCATCAAATCTTCAACCCTCCAATCACGCCCTCAGCGTCCCTTACCGGCACTTCGCGCCAACCTCGTATTTCGGAGTTATAAAAAAGTCTTACCCTACCCACATCCACGTTCCACTACCGTACTTTCAGCCTCACGCATGCATTAATGGCAGCGCCGCGCTAATGGGACGTGCCGTAAATACGAGAATGTATGACGGTACCGAGTAGAAGCCAGTGCAGAAGCTACGCGTCGCGTTCGAAGCGATCAACACCGCGTACGACACCCAGTCACGTTACCTAATGCAGTTCGCCCAACTTGCGAGGGATGTAGGACCGAGAGGAGGCCGTGCGTTTCCACTGTTTTCTCAGGGTTGAGAAAGGCTTGTTGGGTTTGGGAGGTTTGTCGATGTACGATGTACGAATCAGAAAGCATGTGTTAGTACGAGATGCAGAGTAGGAAGATCTTCGAAGACTATGTTTCACGCCTTCCACGCGTTGGATGCTAGGTGTTTTTTGGGCTGATCGAGTTGGGATCAATATGTTTAGTAGTAGCGAAGGCAGCCGTGGAGTGGTGCCATGAGTGCGAGTGCTGTGATGCCACGATATGCGTTGCATATCCAAATACACACGCTACGTGTCAGTGTATTCGCTGATCCCTTTTGCAACCTCACCGTAAGGTAACATCCTCACTACCATAATAGCAGTACATAGTAGCACAGCAGAGTCGCAATCGCAATCGCAGTCGCAGTCGCAGTCGCATGCACAGTACCAGCAGATCTACCATCCAACGGGTCAACTCCCCCCGTCTTAGATATACCCGCAAACAGCTTAGCCCACCCCCAAAACCCCAATTGGGGGGTTTGGAGACATAGAAAGCATACAAGGTGAGGCTTAGCTCTCCGACTAAACAGGACTAAACAGTTATCGGAGTGTGGGCGTGGGCGGTCGGAAGGAAGGAATGCGGGAATCGACTGATAATGACATCGTGGGGTGCTCCGTCCGGCAATCAGTTCAGGCAGATTTGCGGGCGAAAAGGGTGTGTGTGTGTAGGAGATGTCTCCGCGTGCTGTTGGTTGGGAGTCGACGTAGAGTTTAGGCAGTTGGGTGTTAGTCTTCGCGAACTTATTTAGTTAGCAGCGTCGACGGTCGGCTTTCGCTTCCAAAGCTTTTGCGCAGAAACGTGGCAATGCGACGCGGCGTTAGAAGAGCGCCAGAAACGCCAGAACCCATCGGATCGTGCTTGTCCGAGGTGGTGAACCAGAGGAAAACAAACTTTGGCATCGTGGCATTCTCCGCGAAAAACGCGCCATGGCGATGGTGAGCAGCGCGCACAAGTCGGGGACAGGCCAGCCACACGGCTAACGCAGCTCTGGTGTCCGTGCCAGACGCGAGGCTCTACTCGTTCTTTCGTTCAGCCACCCCTTATGTACGCGCGGATCATGTCGTCGGTCGGAACTTTCTCCAGCATTCGGCTTCATCGCGCCTAGGTTCATGTACACACAGTACATGATGTACCTACAGCGACCGACCGACCCTCCGCCTCGGCTCGACATGACAATGACCACACTGAGGCTCACACACCCACCCACCCATGCACGCTTGATCCCCAGAATAGAAACTATCAATGACCTGTTCGGTATTAGTAGAAATCGGGGGCTGCTGCTGCTGCTGGGGCTGCACGGCTGTCAGAAAGTAGAGATCTGCTTTCCTGCAGGTGCTGGTGCGCATCCTTCGGCCGACCGAGCTCACGCATTTTTTTTGTTTGGTTTGGTGGTTGATCGTCGCGTCACGTTTTCTCTCTCTCCTTCGGAAGCCGGACAAAAGCCAGATCCGAGCCCCGGGCGGTGGTTGGTGGATTCCAAGTGCGGTGAGAACAAGAACCAACGTCGAGTGAGACTCGAGTCAGCGCGCTGGTACTCTACGGGTAGTGCCTGTTGCGTTCTGCCAGGTCAGAATTTTGGAGTGTCATGGTGTGCTGCGACAAGAGGATACTATGGCGAGTGGAAAACCATCTGCATCATCCGATAGTTCGCAAAGTTCCGATTCTTTTGGTGGATGTGATGAGTGATCATTTATGCAAACCTACTCCATTTCCACATCCTCGAGACGAGATCTCGGCATAATAGCACCGCAACAGCCCACACCACGGAGGCCGTGGGCCACGGGAGAGTGGGGGACATGCCCTGGACGTCCGACTCTCAGCGGCCAGCGAAGAGAAAAAACGTGTAGGGCGCGATGGAGACAGCGGAGCCCAAACGTTCCAAGAGAGCGGAGCCGCTTGAACAGCGTCCTTCAGGAACGGCGGAAATTTCTTGTGGGTCGCCCTCTCGCATTGGGGAGGCACGTTTGTTGGAGGGAGGAGGAGGAAGCAAGGAAGCGCGTGCACAGAGTTTCTACTCGCCTGCCCTGGTCCATCGTCCTTCCGCTAACTCGACACCAGGGACGCGGCTAAGCAACCTGCCGGACTCCCATGATGCAACTGCTATCTGGGATGTCTGAAGCAGCTGGCCAGCAGACGACCCAAACTTTTTCACCTGCAAGTTGCAACACTACCGGGTAGCTCTCTCTCTCTCTCGCGCTCTTCGGGCAGACCATGGATATGCCTTGTAAGTGCTCAAGTACCGAGATGCCGAGGAGATGGTTCTCGCAGTCCCAATCCAAGAGCAACCCTGGAGACCCTGGCGTGAGCACTATTAGCTAAGACGTAACAAAGTGCTGGAATTGTCGGTGAACCGCTTTGGGGTCGCAAAGCCGAAGGCAGCCTTCTTATTGACAAGCAAGTGTTGCGACGACGGCAAGTGTGTGATGGGCTGGCGATGGAAATGGGGAAGGCAGCGAGAAAGTGGAATAATTGCGAGAGAAAGTCATAGGAATTCGCTTGCACCTTCCACTTTGCATGCTGTGGCTGACATGGATGCCGCTCCCGTTGTGTCGTTATGGTTATGCATTGGAATCCTCCAAACGCCTGACGCCGCACGCAAAAACGACCAATCGACATCGTGATGCGCAAGTCCCTTCGAACACACCATATCAGCCCTATCTCCCTAACGTTGACCGGTCTCTGCACCAACAAATAGTACGCCAAGCCGGAGCATTCTGTGGCGGTGCAGCCATCACAGCATTTTCGCAATCCCACACAAAACAAGGTTGGCGCAGACAGCATGTGTGCGTGGCTGGTGAGAGAACGGTGTGACGATTCGTACGCGTTAGCCAGGCTAGGCGAGTGAGCAAATCCTATCCCGCTACCCGCGAAAAGCGAAATCCAGCGCACTGGTATGACATCAAGCTCGAGCCTACGCACGCTGTAGGTCATACCTTAGCGCGGCCGTTGTCTTTTGATCCTTAACTATCCTTTCTTTCGTCAGGATTACCCAGCCAGGAAAACCTGCGTATTTCGTCCTAGACGGCATTGAAGAGAACTATTGCGCTGAATCGAGACTGCATTGTCGGCAACATGCTTGTACGTAAACCCGCAGTGCTGGGTTGATAATTGATAATGGGAAGCGATGGTGGGGGATTCGGTCTTGATTGGCGGCAGGAAGGCTAAAATTGGTAGCTGACCTGTCCATCTTTCACGCGAGCATGCAGGGCAGGCCCTGGCCATCACATGGAGAAACTAGGACTAGGGCTGAGAAACTAGGACGGTGTTGGACAACCTTAATTCTTCTGTGCATTGCTATCTAGCTGGTGCCTAAGTATCCTTGCTCTTCTCTGTACTCGGGGAAGTGCGGACGACGCTCAATGAGGAAGACGTTTTCCCTGAGAGTGGTTGTTTCGTTCCGCTGCGCTATGCGAGCTTTCCGTTATGTCGTTATGTGGCGTTCTGTGAGAGCCTCGTCAGGCTTCCTCCACGCCGGGCATCAGTCCCGCAGCTCGATGCGCCTTTTCCTACAATGTAGCCAACTCCGGTCCAACTGCGGCTGACATAACAGGGGACGATGCGCGCGTTGCATGTTGGTGCGAAACATGTCCACTTGTTGTTCCGTCCACCTTGCGTCTCTCCGGATATTGCGCCGAAGCGCCGCAGCAGCCAAACCGCGAACGGCTTACGGCGGAAGCCACAGCACCGTGCCAGTGGTGGCATGTCATAGGTCCGACTCGGGTGTCATGATTGACAGAGATCAATCGATCGGAAATTGTTCGTCTCGCACACCTGTGGATACAGCGAGGACGGGCCGGGCGGATGTCAGGTTTCGTTGCGTGCGCATGGTTCCTCGAATTTCCGCCGTCATGGTGCTCTCAGGCGTGGTTGTACTGGCTGGGAAGGTACCCCGCAGTGGACGCCTGGCCTTT